TTCCTTCATCTGGTCAAGCTTCCTCTTCATGTTTGTAGCATAGTCATGTGCGAGCCGGTGCAACTGTTTATTCTCATGCTTGAGCCCTCTAATCTCCTGTTTGAGACTCATCACTTCAGCCGCCAATGATTCAACTTGGCGGGTTCGAGCAAATAGGCGTTGGGCCATATTAGACACAGAACCTGCACACTGAACACTGAGAGAGCCAGCGAATCCTTAACAGCTAACTCATCAGACCGTTTGGAAAGTAGTCTGTTATCTTTGGGAGTGAGAAGGTTCCTGGCCACCACCGCAGCGGTCATATCATTCTTCATCACGGAATCCCCAACGGTAAGAGGACCAGTAGGGGAGACGAAGGATGGGCGCCATATGTTGTCTGGAGAAGGCGGGGCTGCCTCTTCAACAAGGTTCAAGTCAAAACGACGGTCGGAGGGGCCAGACATTTTCAAAGGTGTTGAAGAGAGAAGAGGTCGGACAAATCAAGATCTTAGAAGTGCAAGAATGAAGCTTCTACTGGTGGAGATTCAAGTGTGCTTTGGAACTTAATGCCAGCCCCTATAAAAATCTGCACTCGACGGAGCTTCAGAAATCGAAGAGGCGCCTGCTCAGAAATCGAAGAGGCGTTTGCTTTTCTCAAAAGCTGGGCTGCTTAGAGATCACGAGGGTTGATCTCAGAAATCGAAGAGGCGTTTGCTTTCTCAAAAGTTGGGCTGCTCAAAGACCACGAAGGCCGATCTCAGAAATCGAAGAGGCGCTCGCTTTCTCAAAAGCTGGGCTCCCCAGAGACCACGAGGGCCGATCTCAGAAATCGAAGAGGCACCTACTTTTCCAGCCTTGTCAGCACCTGTCACACGCACACTCAGCTTTGCGGAAATTATGGGCATTCTGTCAAAGACTTCTGGGGAAGTAGAAAACACATGAATCTTACTGTTCAATCACCCACTTCCCACACGCAACAATAGCTCATGGGTACCACAGATAACTTTGCCAAAGTTCTCTGCCAAAGTTGAGCACGTGAAGCTTGCAGCTCCCACTACATCGCTCTGACCAAGAAGGGTAAAAGAATAGCAAAGAAACAGCACTAACAAAGTTTAGACCCATAAATTTTGAAGGTCTAGCTACCATATTATTACCCACAAGGGTAAAGGAACAGTACCACTGCTGGATAATTGGAAAGTCCCTGTGTGTCAACCTCTGTGCTTCGTGGCAAGGTAGACTAGCAAACATGCCCAACCTTTACTCACATTCGAGAAAAACACTCCCAATAAGATTGCTTGCTCCAAAATCGAAGAGGCACCGTCCTCCGAATCTCGAGAGCCAGACTCCCAACATGACTACTTTCTTAAAAATCGAAGAGAGGGTAAAGGAACAGTACCATTGCTGGATAATTGGAAAGTCCCTGTGTGTCAACCTCTGTGCTTCGTGGCAAGGTAGACTAGCAAACATGCCCAACCTTTACTCACATTCGAGAAAACACTCCCAACAAGATTGCTTGCTCCAAAATCGAAGAGGCACCGCCCTCCGAATCTCGAGAGCCAGACTCCCAACATGATTACTTTCTCAAAAATCGAAGAGACACTGCTCCCCGAATCTCGAGAGCCAGACCCCCAGCATGATTGCTTTCTCAAAAATCGATGAGGCATCGTTCTCCGAATCAATCGAAGAGGCGCTCGCTTTCTCAAAAGCTGGGCTGCTCAGAGACCACGAGGGCCGATCTCAGAAATCGAAGAGGCACCTACTTTTCTAGCCTTGTCAGCACCTGTCACACGCACACTCAGCTTTGCAGAAATTATGGGCATTCTGTCGAAGACTTCTGGTGAAGTAGAAAGCACATGAATCTTACTGTTCAATCACCCACTTCCCACACGCAACAATAGCTCATGGGTACCACAGATAACTTTGCCAAAGTTCTCTGCCAAAGTTGAGCACGTGAAGCTTGCAGCTCTCCCACTACATCGCTCTGACCAAGAAAGGTAAAAGAATAGCAAAGAAACAGCACTAACAAAGTTTAGACACATAAATTTTGAAGGTCTAGCTACCATATTATTACCCACAAGGGTAAAGGAACAGTACCACTGCTGGATAATTGGAAAGTCCCTGTGTGTCAACCTCTGTGCTTCGTGGCAAGGTAGACTAGCAAACATGCCCAACCTTTACTCACATTCGAGAAAACACTCCCAACAAGATTGCTTGCTCCAAAATCGAAGAGGCACCGTCCTCCGAATCTCGAGAGCCAGACTCCCAACATGACTACTTTCTCAAAATCGAAGAGAGGGTAAAGGAACAGTACCATTGCTGGATAATTGGAAAGTCCCTGTGTGTCAACCTTTGTGCTTCGTGGCAAGGTAGACTAGCAAACATGCCCAACCTTTACTCACATTCGAGACAACACTCCCAACAAGATTGCTTGCTCCAAAATCGAAGAGGAAGAGGCACCGCCTCCGAATCTCGAGAGCCAGACTCCCAACATGATTACTTCCTCAAAAATCGAAGAGACACTGCTCTCCGAATCTCGAGAGTCAGACCCCCAGCATGATTGCTTTCTCAAAAATCGAAGAGGCATCGTTCTCCGAATCTCGAGAGCCAGATACCACAGACCACTTTTTCAAAGTGCTCTGACAGAGTTAAAACATGTGAAACTGGCAGCTCCCACTACCGTGCTATGACCAAGCAGGGTAAAGGAATAGCATTACTACTTGTTGTTAGGGAGACTCCTATATATGTCGACCTCCATCCCCAACGGACAGGCAGACCTGCAAAAATGCTCAACCCTTCATCATATCTGAGAGGGCACTCCCAACGAAGCCTTTCGAAATATTCAGCTTTCTTTCCCCCCGATAATACCTCTGCAAACAAGCTATACTAGAGCAAGAATATCTCATATCATCAGGGTTAAAAGCAAGAGTATCCCATATCATGCTTTTTTCCCTGTCTTTTCCTTTTGGCCTTGTTTTTACCTGCAAGACAAGGAGAAAGAGAGCAATCAGTCAGCACTTGGAATCAAGCTTCCAGCCAGGAACTGACTGCCTGGAACCCCTTACCTGATTACTTACCTGGCATTGCTCTCGAGTACTCATCTTCAACATCTTATGTTTCCAGGGAAGATTCCGCATCTGCTTGAGGAACAGATAGGGCAAGTGCGAAGGATACAAGGAAGCATGTGGAGACAAGCGTAACAGCACACGTGCCGATACATCCATTACTCTGTCAAAAGCAAAAGTATCCCATATCAGCAGGGTGGAACGTACTCTAGATTTGATGGACTTGTTTTGACCCTCAAATTCTTCAGTCGGCCTTATACTCTGGAGGAAACCAGAAAACCCTCCAGCTCAGTTCAAGAATAAGCCTGTGGAAAGTTACTTCTTCAAAAGCAAAAGTATCTCATATCATCTCTTCTCATTTTTCTTCTCTTTATCCTTCATGCTGCTGCAAGATGGGGAGAAGGTGAACAATCAGTCGGAGCTCTGATTGCTTACCTTGTCTGTCACCTCTTTCAGCAGACCCCCTAGCTCGGCGACTTGGGGACTCCTACTACATGGTTTGTATCGCGCTTGACCAAGCCTGAAACTACAAGTAAGCTTCAAGTGAAATTGATACATTACCTTGTGCATCTCCACCAGTTAAAGATACCACCCCTGGATGGAGGAAGAGTACTTCCAGAGAAGATGCCACATCTACCTATGAGACAGATAAGGCAAGTCAAGACGACACCACACTCCGATACTTAGAAGTTTCGTGATTACGAGATCATTCTCCCACAATATTTCCTAATGTCATTTGTACTAAATCATTCACTTGTACTCACTAAAGGAGAGCTTGAACCTATGTACTTGTGTAAACCCTTCACAATTAATGAGAACTCTTCTATTCCGTGGACGTAGCCAATCTGGGTGAACCACGTACATCTTGTGTTTGCTTTCCTATCTCTATCCATTTATATACTTATCCACACTAATGACCGGAGCAATCTAGCGAAGATCACAAAAAGCGACCGTTTTCGCTACCTAGGATCTATCTTGCAAGAGAACGGAGAATTAGATGGAGATCTCAACCATAGAATACGAGCTGGATGGAAAGAGTGCATCCGGCGTGTTGTGTGACCGTCGTAGGCCACTGAAGCTCAAGGGAAAATTTTATAGGACGGCAATAAGGCCAGCGATGTTGTATGGCACAGAATGTTGGGTGGTGAAGCATCAACACGTACACAAAATGGGTGTAGCGGAGATGAGGATGCTTCGTGGGATGTGTGGGCACACGAGAAAGGATAAGATTGGGAATGAGGATATCCGAGGTAAAGTAGGAGTAGCCGAAATTGTAGGAAAGATGAGAGAAAATCGGCTCTGGTGATTTGGACATGTGCAAAGAAGGCCGATTGACGCTCCGGTTCGAAGATGTGACTACGGGACAGAGGTTCAGGGCCGAAGGGGTAGAGGAAGACTTAGGAAAACTTTGGAAGAGACTCTAAGAAAAGACTTAGAGTACTTGGATCTAACGGAGGGCATGACACAAAACCGAGCGCAATGGCGTTCTAGGATTCATATAGCCGACCCCACTTAGTGGGAAAAGGCTTTGTTGTTGTTGTTTTTGTTTTGATTTTTTTTTAATGCAAATTCGGATTTAGTGGTAACTGATGTTGTAGTTGATTTTTCAGTGGAGTTGTGTTGTGGATTGTGGGAAACAAACTAAACTTCCATGTTATGTGCAAAGACCATGATCAGAGTTTGGTTTGATGGGAACCAATTAGCAGGAAACATATATGAAGCCTTTGGCGTCTATCCGAATTTTTAATATATAGATCTAAGCAACATAAATTATATGGTGAAGTCTCACGCAACTGGGGAGAAAATGAAACCGATTACAAACATAAAAATGAAGTCAACCTTCTTATAATTGAGATTTATAATATGAACATTCACAACCCAAAATACACAAAATTATAATAATCATGTAAGAACAGATATTGAATAGAGGACAAAAATAATTACCTAAGCCATAAGTGCTTTGGGCAAAATGGGGATTGTGATATTAATTGAAGATTAAGAATGTTTTTGGCTGTGATGTTTGTATGTTTACTTAACAAACAAAGGAATACATAGAGTAAGGAGAAAAATCATGTCTTCGTACGGCATCTTACGACTCACGTCTGCATTGGTTGTGTTGTCGAAGAAGATGGAAACTCTTCTCTTGGCTGAAACATTCTTCTCAAAAGTAGTTGGGTGGATAACTGATCGCATCTTATCCATTGTGGCATGCGGCTTGCAAAATTATTTAAATGTACCCACCAATTCAAATATTTTCTGAAAGGGAAGTCCATCTCTTCCTCATTTGCTTTCTTTTTCTGGCCATGTGTAACTGAAACGACCCAAGCAACTCTCTAATGCATGGAATCGTTATCGGATTAATCTTTCTCTGGAGTAGCGACGGTTTTTCCCCCCTAAAGTGCATGTTGTCTTCTTCCTCCTCTTGATTTCTAGAGTCGCAGAAACGGTTTTACATTCTGAAAATGATGAAGAGAGAGGTACATGGGAGGAAAGAGTGAAGCGTCCTGGGAGAAAAGTGAACCGACTCTTCTTATCCTTATCCTTCTCCACGTTCCAATATTTATCTATGCCTTTACTTCCATTCAAATCTTTATCCTTCTGCACATTCAAAGAAACAAAGAAAATGAAAAGATTGACTTGTTTACCAGATTGCACTGTTTATATATGAAAGGACAGACCTGGTCATGTTATGACTTGTGAAGATACCATGTTTTCATATGATCAAATGATTAAGTATGAAGTTAATCCACCAAGAACAACTTATGCTCATCCTCCTTCCACACAACACCTTCCCATATCAAAAACCAACCAACGCAACAATTAGTCAAGTAAAAATAATAAATTCAAAATAAATAAACAAATTGAGATAATTTAATTCCATATTAGATATGTGAAAGGTAGGTGAAATATGGAAAGTAAAATTAACGACATGAGAGTGAAGACGATTAATAAAACCAATTGGCAACTGCTAATTGCATTTTCAAATTTGAACACCACTTTTTTTTTTCAATGTGTTTAAATTATAACCGCTCAGTTTTGGAGGATAATTATCTCTTTTTTTTTTTCCCAAATAGGAGGATAATTAGCCAACTGTTCATCTTCAAATATTGTCCAATATTTTAGATTGAATTGTAGAGATAAAATTAAAAAATTGAAGAAACGTGGCATACGTGTAAAGAAGGTGGATGGATTAAGGTGCAAAACAAGCAATGCTCCTTTAGGTTTTCCTTCTGCAAATTTGTCAAAGCCTCCTCAAACAAAACCGAAAACAAAAAGAAAAACTTAACCATTGCCAAATCCTCCTCAAGCGAAAAACAGAATGCCATTATCAATTACAAAGAAAACAAATTTCAGACATCGTTACTTGTTTGTTCCACGATTAGTAAATTCCAGAGACTGATTTGTAGAAGAACTTCAATTTAATAATTTTTGTGAAAATGCATGAGAAGATTAATATTAAGGAATAAGGAGCACTGTGATAGAGAACAAAATACAAAAGTTTAATAATTGAGACCTATGGAGGGTGAAATAAACTCAATTAACCGAAAGAAAAAAAAAATAGTATCACGTACTTTATCGAATGACCGATTCTTGTTGGTTTTTCGCCAATTTCATCTTCTCCTCCGGGCTCCAGCAAAACAATTTCAATTTGTTCTTTTAGGTTTTTTTATTTTGTGCTTTATTTACATCTCCTTCCACAAAACTGCTTCCTCTCCCACGTTTGAATTTATTTTCATGCACGTTCACGTTTATTTCTACAAAACCACTCCCTTCACACGTTTATATTTTTTCATTCCATCAGATTTTACAATAACGTGAGAGTCTATAAACTGAAAATTTCAGTCTCTCTCCCACGTTTCTTTCCTCAATTTCCCAACATTTTTTTATTTTCGTTTTTTTCTTGTTTTTTTTAACGGCATCTGTCTCTTTATGTGTTTTTACCAGTTTGTCCTTATTTTTTGAATTTTTTGGGTTTTGATTGTGAAGGAAACAAATGGGCATTTTTGGCATTTTGGAAAGCTTCGCTAAATTGGGGCTCTCACTTTATATATATAGATTCATATTGAGTTGACCGAGGCAATTATCCTATTTTTTCTTCTTTTCAATCAAAGAAGGTGAACATATTACTGATTAAACTTTAAATGTCATTTATTAAATTTTAATTAGCTTAATAATTTATTTTATAAAATAATAATTTAATTTGATATATCGGTTGGAGAACAAAAATTTTAAAAAATGTCAAAGTGCCACATAAACTGTCAAAATTTAAATTTTATGTTCAAGATTTGATGTCTCCTTTTGAGATGGTCTAAGAAGATCAATTATATCTTAAATGATTGTCTATGTGTTATCGACTCATTAGTTTGGTTCTTTATATTTTAAACTCATCAAAGTTGTTCTTACCATCAAATTCCATTAAAAATGTTGTTAGCATGTTGACGTGTTATGTATGTGGGTCTCACAAAGTCAATGATATTGTACCATGTGGGATTAATTAAAAATTATTTTGATATTTTACTCTATAAAAGACTTAAAATAAAAGAAAAATAAGACTAATTTAATTAAGAATTTGAAAAAATAAAATGAAATTGAGGTCGACACCGACGGTGAGGTAAAGGTAGTAGGGGGTGGTTCGTTTTGTTGAAGATGACACATTTGGCTTTTTTTTTTACATTAATTAATTATTTTTTCTGTTTTATTTTATTATTTTTCGTCAACTTATGTGGCACAATATTATTGGCTTTGTGGACCCATATGCATAAGAAGTCCGCCAATCAACGGAATTGGATGGTGGGGATGACATTGATGAGTAAGTCAACATATAAAAGAATCAATTTGATGAGTTTTTAACATAAATGACTAAACTAATGACTTGATAATAAATAACGGACCATTGTAAAAATCCTTGTAAAAACCTCATCCTTTTAGCGCAACACACTAATCAGGTAAACTACTTTCCTTTAAAGCTTTAGTTTCAGCGTTTTCTTCCACTACGATACCATCCTAATTTTGAAGAAATCGTCAATTAGCAAAGATCATTTATTGGTTCAACAAACTATATGTAAGAAATTCCAAGAAAATAAATGAGACGTTAGTGAATTTGGCTTAATTACTGGTGTGTCTCTAATAGTGTTTTTCATTCCTACTTTTCCTCCTCAAATTTATTTTGCTTCAACTTGCCTTCTTAAACATGTAAATGTGTCTCACTTTACCCACTGTCATTATCTTTGTTCATGTCATTGACGTGACACCCACATGACATAAAAACACAAGACATTTTTGCTAAGAGAAAAATAAAAGATAATAAGTCCAACCCAATTTGTTTTTAAATCCAAAATACTTCCCTCCATCAATACAAACACATGTCAAGTGATCATTTACCACAATGATGGAAAGGTGTTGAGCATTTACATGACAGCGTGAGTTCAAACTCTGTCATTGGTTAATCTAATATCTAATCTAACAAAATCTATCGTTTAACAAAAAAAAAATCGATACAAACATAGGATTACACCATCTATAAAAGATAGTGTTATTAATACTCATTTTGTCCTCTCATTTATTCTTGTTAATTTTTGTTCATCAATCTTTTTCAATTAATTGAATCTGACGACCAAAACTTAAAAAATATATATAAAAATAAAAATAAAAATGTGAATATCATAATCTTGAAAGAAATAGTAGCACACTCACACAAAGTACAGTTATGTTATGGGAGGACAAGTGGGAGATGGGGACCTTGGCTCTTAAATAAACACATTGTCCTATTGAATAAAAAGGGCGAGATTCGAGGTGCTCTGAAGGACGATGGTGGCCCCTACGCTAGTCAACGATACAACATGTTTTCCACCAATAAGAAACATGGTGCATGTGGCTACAAGGGCAACTCCATCCTTGGGCTTCTCTAATTATGCAAAGTAAGCCAAACCCGAGTTTTTATTATGGCCCAAATAATTAGACAAGAGTAACAAATGTTTTTATATTTTTATATAATAATATTATTTTTTTAAACAAGCAATATTATATATTGAGATTAAGATTAGGTGCTAATGAGATTAGATGCTAATGATTAGAGCTAGCTTTGTCCAATTTTGTTGGGGAAAGAAGCATTTAGCAAGGTACGGTCCTAAGGTCACCTCTAATGGAGGGTACATGCCATAATTTAGCTTTTTTTGCACCTAAATTCATCTCCAATGAAAGACTGTATGGAATCTTAAAAAAAAAAAAATTAATCCAAATTTTATCAGGATTGCCATATTTGGCCCTCAAAGTAGGAAGGGGCCAAAACTATTGATGAGGCTTGCGCGTGAAAAGTTGTCTGGGACAACTAGGTTGATGCGATTCGGTGATGGGTGTTGCATATTTTGTCATGCATCCGTAGCTTTTTGTACTCAGGACCAAGTGCCTGAGTACAACTAATTCAACTTACCGTTATATTTTTTAAAGGTTAATTGGTTCCAGCTCAACAAAAATCTCAGTAATTAGTTCTCAATCTTACAGGTGCCATATTTGAAATATTTGTCGATATACTTTTTTTCTTTCAAAATTGTTCCATAAAATATATTTAGACAAGTGTAAGTAGTAGTTTTTTTTATTTTATTTTTATTTTTTTGGGAACAATCGATATTATCTACACTAAGAGTGAAGGGGTGAACTCAACCTCACAATGGGATAGCAATAATGGTTCAAATTCAGTTTTGGCGAGAATCGAACCTAAGATCTCTTACTTACAAGTGAAGAAAAATAACACTAACTTATAGTACTAAGTGGCAGTGCATATAGTAGTTTAATTAATATAAACAATACATAATAGTTGAAGTGTGAGCGATGAACCATAGTATTTCAATATGCTAAAAAGTAATAGAATATTGAGAAGAACAAAATATAGCCCTTGCACCGTTGAGATGAAAAATTATAGCACATCACTACTCCCTTAATACTATTTTTTATATGTGCTATATTTAAAAAGGGTGGCTAATTATAAGAACACATTGGAGATTGCCTTAAAAATAGCCCACAGAAAAAAAAATGGAGTGATTGTGATTAGCGTTTCCAAGCCAAGGGGCATACTTTCATAAGAAATGTTAAGGAGATTTTTTCAAAAGTAGAACTCTTTGTCACTTTATATTTTTGACGCAATATTTTATGTGTTGGTACAAGAATTAACGTTTCATGAGAAGCGGCATACTTTCATTCATTTCAAAGGCAAGGGGCTAGCTGAGTAGCGGGGCAAAATAGTTTGGTAAAAACATGTTTAAGTTTGATGATAAGTTTTTACTCCTTAAACACATGTCATCTTTTAATTACATTGCTACGCGGACAGCTGTTTCCACATTATAGCGGTGAATGTTAACAGATGATTAATGCCAAATTTACTTTAAGACTCATCTATTAATGATTAGTTACAATTTACACACCATAAACGACTTAAATGATTATTTGCACAGTTGTTGATAACTGTTAGTTATTGGTTGATCATTATTTGTCACCTATGAATTTGGTAGGGGGTGGAGTTTGGATCCTATCCGGATTCAAATTGTGGGGATCCTCACAACTTAACCGTTTATCGTACATCGTGCGGTCAAAAATTATTTTGAATTTTTTTATTTAAAATTAAACATAAATAATACCTAACGAAAATTGACCGCACGATGTATGATGAACGACCATGATGTGAGGATCCCTAGGATCCCCACAAAAAGGATCTGGAGATGATCCCCATCCTGCTAACAATGGCCTAAAATAAATACTAATAATATTTCATGTTTGAAAGTCTAGATGTCGAGATGTGAATAGTCGAAATGTACAATTTGAAAAACATCTTATGTTGTCAAACGATATGCATGAAAACATAATCGATCTTTATGACATCACATTTCTAGTAAGATCAACCACATATATTATAATTTAGTGATATTTTTTTTCACTTATAAGTGGGAAGTTTTAAGTTATAGTATGTTGGGGGACTTTTAGGTCGAGGTGGACTTGGGCTTTAAGAATGACCTCTTGTCTCTCTTGGTGTGGATTCACAACAAGTCCCGGGATATCTCGAAAGAGATAACTTGTCTTAGGAAATACCCCGATAACATCAACGGCTCGAAGATAGTGTGAAAGATCAAGATAATGACTTGCTCAAGTGAAGCGTAGTGTGGAAGCTAGAAGATTATCAGTTTACATGAGAAAGAAAGGATTTGCATGGTTACATGGCATTCTTTGCTGGATAATCTGGGCTTTCCTAGAGTGATAGTATGGTTTCTAATGACTGGGATGTTTGATACAAAGATATGGAAATTACTAAGGTTGCATGGATGGTGATGCTTGGGGCTTGGAGTATACTTAGGGCCCGTTTGTTTGACAGGATTCAGAAGGACTGGACTAGACTAGACTATAGTCATTTTTTGGTGTGCACCAGGATTAGCTTTAATGAGCTTAGCAGGGATTCGCTCGGATTAAAGACCCCTTTAGCCGTTCTTAACGAGGATCCCCAATTTTGGGCGAACTCGTAAGCCAGAGAAAACACGAGAGATTTTCTGCGTCTTCCCTCATCGTCCTCATCTCAGCGTCTTCCCTCATCATCGTCCTTGCCGTGCTCCCTCATCGTCGTCCTCCTCACACCCATCGCTGCGTCTTCGCTCATCTGCATCTACTCGCCCTTATCTGCCTCGACTTGTCTGATAAGCTTCGAATCTTCGATTTATTTCGTCGATTTGTGTGGATTAGTTTGTGATATTAACTGAGCTTTATTTGATTTTGTTGTTTTGGGTTTGAGAAAGTTTCAATCATAGACCTCTGCACTTGAACAAATTAGGATTTTGATATTTAGGTGAAATTGAGATTAGAATTTGGGGTTTTCATA